GGATGCGGAGCTGGAAGCGGTGACAGGAGCCGCCTTTCCAGAGCCAGGCTCAGCATCTCAGGTCCTCAGGGGCTGATGTCACCCCCGCGCAGGCGCCGCCTCGCCAAGGAGGGGCTCATCTCCGGCCAGCAGCATCCCCCTTCCCGCTGCAGATGCTCTGGCATCCCCCCAGACCCTTCCTCCCACCGCCCTCCCCTGCCCAGCCTGAGCTGGGGCTTGTCTCGCTGGCCCGTGTTCCCCCCCTTGCTGTGGAGCCTATGGTCACCAAAAAAGACCCCCACACTGCCATTGCAGCCCCGGGACCCTCTGCCACCGCTGAAGGGAGCAGAGGGTCAGGCACCGCGGTGGCCCTGGTCACGGGTGCTTGTGGCCGTCCTGGCACTGCGCTTTGGTGTCAGTTCGGGGGGGTAAATAGCTCCCTTTGTGTGGTGGAAATTCGGAGCAGCTTTTCTGGATGGACTTGAGATTTGCATGATAAAAGAAAGAGCAGAGGCAGCCTGGGCCTCCGTTTTTTTTTCTTTTTTTCTTTTCTTTTTTTTCCCAGGCCAGACGTGCTCAGGGCAGAAATGCTTTGGCCACTTCTTCCCTGCGCTGGGAGGAGCACCTTAAATCCTTGGCTCCACAACCAGGTTGTTGCCAGCTCAGACTGAGACTTAAATTCAAGTTGATGTTTTGATGCCACAGACTTGCTTTTAATCCTCTCTGAATCCACTGCGCAGGGACAGACAGAGCAAAGGGACGTTTGCTCGGGGCGAAGGACGGTAAACAAGGCAACCCGAGGGGCTCAGCACAGAACCAGTAAGGATTTTCCTGTTAAATTATTATTAAGTGGGGGTAACGATATGGGCTGTTGTGATGCAGCAGCGCAGAGGGGTTCGCTGCCTCAGAGGAGGCTGCTGCTTGTGGCAGGCAGAATTTAAACTGTTCCCTTAGGCTTGTCCTGACAATCCTAGAGAGCCAAGCTTTGTGTCCCTCTAGTTTGACTTCCCTTTAGTTTGACTTCCCTTTAGTTTTGCTTCCCCTTAGTTTTCTGTAGCTCTAGTTTTGCTTTGCTTTGCTTTTTGAGAAGGATTTCCAGCACCGGCAGCCTGGGCTCTGGGGATCGCCGAGGTTCCCAGCCTGGCCCCGGGAATCAGCCCCATCGCCTGAGCTCTCCTGGCTGCCTCTGCTCAGCCCTCAGCTTCACGGGCTCCCCCGCTCCCCATCCCCAAATCAGCCCTCTCTGGGTGTCTCCTCCTGCCACGCTTTGAGCACAGCAGCTGGGGAAGGGCTCACTGAGCTTTTGCAGGTATTTGTTGGTAGCTGGGAGCAGCAGGAGGGAGCTTTGTCTCAGCCGATCAGCAAAAGCAGCTCAGACGCTGCCCAGCCCTTCTCCTGCAAGGCTGAGCCCTCTCAGGACGCTTGTGCCCACGCTCGGTT